GTTTGCAACTGGTGGGCCTGGCCAGTTTGGCATGTCGAGACTGTAGGTCTTGCGTCGGTTGAGCTGTTATCAGACATGTGCAATATAGCAGAGGAGCGCGCGCAGAAGTGTAAATTGGTTGTAAAGAACAATTGATGGACCACGAGACGCATGGCGGTCACGAGGGCGCGGGCTGGCTTGTGTATGGCGGGCCTGGCATGTTTCATTGCAAGTGGTCCTGGCATGTTTGGCGCAGCAAGCCTGCGCGCGCCCCTGCCTTGCTGAAATTTTGTGGCCGCCGTGGGTGGGCCTGGCTTGTTTGTGGTGGCCGGGCTTGATTCACGCCTCAGACTTGTATGTGCAAGCTTCACGAACATCTTTTGCTTGAAGAATTTTCATCGGTTGGGGTAATTCAGTCAGAACCCACCAGTAATGCTAGTGTGTGCGTAAACACGAATCGCGACAGAAGAGTCCGGGCGTTTGGAGATGTAAGTTGCTTGGGCAACCCCGAACAAATAAGGACATCCGCTCAACGCACTTACTCCGCAGCTCAAGGCTTTGTAAGTGTTCGCCCAGGCCCTTCGCAACTAGGAAGCTTTTTGATTGCAGGTGTCTGCAGAGGACTTGCCTGCAGATCGGCGGCTCCTGTCCTCTGGATGGATTTGCAGCCAGATGCTCGTGACATGTCATTCAAGCTAACTAGCCAGCAAGATGTTTGTATACAGTCATGAGGGAGCTGCTCCATCACGACTAGTGGCCATCGTTGAAGACGAAGACATGTTTATCGCAGCCGCTTACAGCAATTCAATTCGACGATCTTCTTGTTCTCTGCCCCGGGGCACTCGATTGAGACAACAAGGAACGCCTTTAATCTCTTCCTCATTTGTTTTCAAGGGGTTGCAAGAATAGTTGAAGGGGCTCAGCCGAGTTTATCCTCCCTGTCAGGACCTACTTTTGATCGATGGCGTCTGCAATGACAACTGCAGCAGTTCAGGCGCGAAGCAAAAACAAAAGAGACCAACGGACCCTGATCCTGACAAGACATCCAAGTGAAACCATCATCAGGCCCCACCAGCGCCACTGATGTAGTCGTTTCCTTTAACTTCGGACATATAAAATCACTTGTGGCGTCGCTGAGCTTTTGAGGCGCCTATGATGAAGACCATGGGGGTTGTGCCAATGGAGATGGATGGGGATTGTCTCTTCCACGCCCTTGCCTACTTCGACGGGGTCGATGGCAAGGCCCTCCGCATAGATGTCGCAGACTTCATGGAGGCGAACGCCTTCCTTCAGGTTGGTTTTGCAGAAGAATGGTTGTTAGAAGCAAGCAAGCTTCGGGCCAATCGATGGGGAGGGCACACCGCGATTGCCGCATACAGCCTCATGAAGGGCAGGAGGGTCATCGTTCACACGAGAGACCTCGCAACAGGCAGAGTTGATGTCCAGGAGCAAAGCCACCATTCCATCTATGGCAAGGAGGATGCCGGTGAGGCACACATTTTGTATAACGGCACCAACCACTATGACGCGCTGGCTGAGATGGCAAGTCCAGAAGGCATGGAGCCGGCGTGGCCGCAGCCTCCTCCACCTATGTATCTCACATTGGTTGGAAATCATGCGACAGAGGCTTTTCCGCCATTAGAAAGTGCAAGCGCCAAGTCTGGCCGCAAGCGCTTTGAAGCACCAAGGCCTGCCAAGAAAGCGAAAGCCAAGAAACCAGGAGCCAAGAAGGCCACCAAGGTTGCGCAGGAACCGCATCCACCCCCACTGACCCAGGGCGAAGAACCAGACGCCGAGCCGGGCTTGATGGAAGAATTGCAAAATATTCCGGTAGCTGCCATGTCCCAACATCCGCACAGGAAAACGGAGGACCTCATCAAGGAGCGGGGGGTTGCAGAAGAGAAATGAAAAGCCACCAACCCAAAAAAGCGTAGTATCGTGAGCTGTCTTTTGAAAACACGAGAGATCGACGTGGGCTTCGCTTCCGCCTTAGGAGCTAGCTGCGAAGCGAATCCGGGCAAACCCAACTCTTCCTCCGAATGCGGCGCCAGCCGCCGTGAATGCTGGCGAGACGTGGCCTTCCGCCTTTTGTGCTTTTTCTGGCTGCAACTGGGAAGAGGCATGTGGAACAGAGGAGGATTTGGGGCAACACCTGAAGATAGAGCACGCAGCTGAGTTGGAGGCTGTTTGCGCGGACATGCTCCGGGGCACTGCCCCTGACGCTCTGCAAAGCGCCTACAACCAGGCCATAGCTGTCAAGTGCCGGCAAGATGCACCTGTCGCCGGAGCTTCTCTAGACCGGACTGCCCTACACGGCTTTGCAAAAGCAACCCGTGGCAACAAGGTTGAGGCCCTGGTTTGCTTCTGCTGCGGGGGCGTCCACCCATACGTGGAGGAGGTGGCGGACAAAGGCAGCATCGACTGGTACCAGCCTTTGCAAAAGAAGGGCCCCAGCGGCGAGTTACTTTTCTTAGGCCAGCCAACGCAAACAATGGAGCGGTTGTTGGGCTTGCAGACTTACCTGTCACGCTACAACGCTGTGCACCCAAGGGAGCAGACCAAGCTCACTGACCATGAAAGCTTCGAGGATTGGCGGCTGAAGCTGCCAGGGCTGGAGGATGGCGTTTTGCTTTGCTGCCCCGAGGAGCCAGGTTTAACCGACAAACTGCATCCATGTTACATGATTTACCCACATAGTGTTTTTTGCTGCGAATATATAGATGTAGTGTGGCCGGAATTAGACGAACTCAGTCAGCGTTAAGAGCATTTGTGCTAGTGTTGGCGTCGAGGATCACCAGTGCGGTGAAGAGCACACTACAGGGCCCAGATGCTTGTGTGAGAAATGTCGGCTACCCATATGCAACGACTGTTTCCAACATCTGTCAGTGGCAAAGCTTCCGCCATTGAGCTACGCCAATGATATGTGGACCGGCTATGGCCTAGAGCGGATCTACACCCAGAACGCCACGGCCATTGAGCTAATCTGCGCTTCGCCATGTTTGACAAGCATGGTGTTGATGTCCATGGATAGCAAGCATAAACGAGAAGCTGCAGGATCTGTCTTTGATGAGGAGGCTCACATGGCAAGGCACCGCTACGGTGCCAGAGGGAACGTCATAACGTTTCCGCTGCCCGTGGAAGACTTGTTACAGCAGTTGCAAGAGCATGTTGACGTGACCAGCGCTGATGCCCTACCTAGGAGCGGCAAGCAGCT